TAATTTTCTGAAGTAACATGAACTAAAGTAAAGAGTGGTCTAAACTTTAAAAGAAAACATAACTGAAAATATATTTTTTAAGATGATGAGAAAATTATAATCCTTAAGTGCAGGAATCACCTCTATTAAAAAAGTTAATAAATATAATATTTTATTTTCTAAATTACCCTTATTTTGATAAATGTCTCTTGAACACTATTAATAGGAGTATTAGGGCATAGTTGAAAAAATATAGTACTATTTTTATGTTGAATTTTAAGGTAACCATTTTTCTTGGACAATTTTTTTAAAAAACTAATATGACACTTATTTTAAAATAAAAAGAGTAAAATTTAACATATTTTTATGAGCACGATGGGCGTATGTAAGGGGGGCCATTGGGTTCACGTGAATCCATGTTCCCCTCCCGAGATCATATATAATAGTATTATATTTTTGAGAAAATGGCCAAATGACCCCCCAATCTATTACCAAACTTTCCGCTACACACTTATACTTCACAGGGGTCATATTACCCCTCTGAGCTATTTTAAAGTGGAATTATTTCCTTCCTGAAATGTCATTACCAGGCATGTGTCTTGTGGTGAAATACACACACTTGATACATGTATCTCACCATTTAATAATATATTTTTTTTAAAAAAAGTTCTCCTCCTTCCTCTTCCTTTCTTCCCCAATCATTTTTTCAATCCTAACTATAATAAACACCATTTTTTACCTCAATAAATTTCTATATTTCTAACAATTTATAAAAACGAAAATTCAAGTCACCTTTTCTCTTCCCCTATTCTTTATTCTTTCTCCCTCTAAAATTTTCATGATTAATTTATAATTTGAGTTTTTGATTTTGATTCTTCATGGATTTTAGGAGAACATGTAGGATCCTTCTTTAAAAATGTAGAATAAATTGTTTTGTTTTAGTTTCTTTTAATAAGTTTGAAGATATTTTTTAAATATACAATTACTTCACTTTGATTTTGTTACTCTTGAGTCCATGACTTTAAAAAAAATTAATTAATGGGTATGTTTTTTTTAAAAAAATAAATTTAATTTGTTAGATATGTTCTAAATAAGTCTATTGAAAAATTATTTATTCATAAAATACATTAGTTGTTGATAATTTTTATACCAAACATCTATTAAAAAAGCTTCAACAATGATAATGGTGAAAAAAATATAATTGTATAGATAAATAAGAAGAACGAAAAAAGGAAATTAGAAAAAAAACGGAAATTAAAAAATAATAATAGGCAACTCACTCTCTCAAAGAGAGTGACATACACTCTCTATGTCAACTCAGCACTTAAGGGTTATTTATTCCATTTTAAAGTAGTTCAGGGAATAATAGGACTCCCGTGAAGAATAGGTGTGTAATTGGAAATTCGGTAATAGGTTGGGAGGTCATTTGACCATTTTCTCTATATTTTTTAGGGATAAGGGTCTGAAAAATACCCCAACTTTGGTCGGATTTGCTGTTGCGATACTAAACTTTCACGAGGACCTATTACCTCCCTAAACTATTTAATACCGTATTTTTTACCCCCTGAACTATTTAATAGTGTATTTTAAAGGTATATATGTGCCCACATGGACATATTACTATTTATAATTTTGCATTATTTTTTATATCCACGTGGGTAAATATATATGTTTAAAATATGGTATTAAATAGTCTAGGGAGGTAATAGGTCCTCATGAAAGTTTAGTATTGCAACATCAAATCTGACCAAAGTTGGGTTTTTTTCAAATTCTTATCCCTATTTTTTAAAGAAATATTGAAATATAGATACGTGAACACACACTCGAGTATCATATGAATGGATGATGATTGGGTGCACTTCTCTAAAAGTAAAGTAAGAAATTTGAATCTTGCATCTATTTTGTTTTATTTTTCTTTCTAAAATTAGGTAACACCTTTCTAAGTGGTTAATTTTGGACCTATAATTTTAAATTTTTAACGGTTTTCAGTGATAAGAACCTAAATATCAAACTAATCAAATTTATATCTTAGATTCACTTTTTTATAATAATGCACCCATCATCTCAAAATCGATCCTGAATACGCCTCTGAGCACGAACTATTTTTAACTAATTAATTGAATACATGTACAAGTACACCATTCATTGAATAAATATCCAGAAAATGCATTGGATCTCTATAACAAGCAAGTATTCATATTACGAATAACTTGGTTGGGCTAAACCAGAGGCGAATTTAAGATTTTTCAAATATGGGTGCACGCAGAAAAATGTATTAAGTGGGAATTGATCCGAACATGGATGCATCAAGAAAAATGTATTAAGTGAGAATTGATTCTTCATCCTCAAGGTAAAAAGCTCAACATTTAACCATGTGGACCAGATAGACTTCTTATAGCACAGTGCAAGAATATAACAATATACAAATTTTAGAAAATATATACATAAAATATCTAGTTTTACGAAGAGACCACGGGTTCCGATGCCCTATTTTTTACCTTTAGATTCGACACTGGGCTAAACTAAGCACTAATCACAAATCAAGTTAGGTTTTCACCAAACTCGTTGGTTGTTGTTGAGATATAAATACACGTTCGAAAAATATTAAATTGGAGAAATTTAAGAACCCTCTCTTCAAATCTCTCGGTCATTACACTTAAATCTTTAGGTTGAAATTAATATGATTTTTAGTGTTTTTGAGATTTTCAAAAGTTACAATGTGTGAATTGAAGAAGATTGTCATATTTTATTTTTTTTATGTAGAGAATATAACGATCCTCATAGTCATTTTGTAAATTATATATGAATTTTAAAAAAAATATATTTGTGCCCAAATTGACTCAAGTCTCCAATGAACTTAAAAGAGATGGTAAAATGAGCATTTGGGATATAGATCATCACCAATATGCCTACTTCTAAAGTACTCATTCTTCTTCAACAATTTTACCCTTCTCACAAACATAGATACCATCAAGAGACTTTTGGATATCCTTGTTCTTCACATGACATTTTTATGGATATTTTTGTATTTTTAACTATTTTATTCTTGTCTAAGTTATTCCATTATTATTGTTCCATCTAAAGATAGAGATAACTCATTTCAGTACTATTAATAATCTTAAAATAGGTTATTTCAAACTTTCTAACCAAACAAGGATTAAAGATTACAAAAACTTTATTTCATAATTATTTTTTCTTATCCATCATACCAAGCATGTCCTAGAAGAAAATAGAGCCAGGTGAATTGTAGGGGCGGAGCTACGGTGATGTCAGGTGTCTAGTTAGACACTCTTTGTCGAAAAATTACATTATATATATATAAAATTTAAATCTTATTTTATATTGATATATATAGTATTTCAAACACCCTCAAAATCAATAAAGATCCGTAACGGAGTGATAAGTGTATGCACGAAGATTTGATGTGAAGTAAATAACACTTTAGGAACCTTCTCTTGATATCACTAAGTTAGTGACACTAACTTATTATTTTATTATCATTTCCTTGTCAGTTCTCTGTCCCCTTTTCTATTCTTCTATTTTTGGTTAAAACTGGTTGTAGGAAATAAAATATTGGTTCTTATAATTTAAACAAAACATCAAAAGAAAATCTATATCTCTAAAGCAAATCAAAGATGAAGTTGAATTTGCAAACTCTCTTTATTGATTACAAAATTTTAAAAAATCAATTTTCCTATAGAAGATAGTTTTCCAACATGTTAAAATCAAACATTTAGTTGTTGAATGTTTTTATTGTTATTATTGTTGCACTAGTTTAAATTAGTTATTTCAATTGTCATGCTACACAGACCCTTGTATAAGTGTTACCTTTAATAATAATGCAGTGCATTAATTATGTAGCATTTCTTATTATATTTTATAAATTGCAAACCAAAAGAAAGTATCAAATGCAACTTAACTTAATTCCGTAATTTAATATTAAATAATTTTTAATATATATTATTATTAAATTAAAAATCAATAACTTTAAAGAACTAAAACTTGAATTCATAAACTTACAAAACCTCTTGGTCTTTTAAATGTGTTAAATTGGGTCATGACTGACTCTATACATTGAAGTTTGAACTGAAATATTTTATTTCATTATTTTAGCATCTAAATTCCACTCGGCAATCAACCATCTGAATCTTAACAAAATTATTTCCTACTCCTTCTATTATATATTAAATAAATAAATTTGTGAGGCAATGCATATTTAAAGATATAATTTAAATTATAATTTTCACTATTACCTTATGTGAAATCATATATAATTTGTAAGTAGTGTAATTTATTTCTTAGAAAATATAAAACTTCAATAAATGAAACGATAAATATGAAAAAAAATTCAAACATCAATCTTGAACTTTGAGCAATGAAAAACCCCTCAAAAATTCACTTAATATGAAATAAAGAGAGTAATATAGTGTGTTGTATTATATTGCACTATTGTATTGTTTTAATAAATATAATATTTGGATAGATCATATCATTCTTCGTCGTTACATAATGAACATCAACAAGAAAAGCAAGGTATATAATAGAGATACTATGAAAATGTAAGTCAAAAGATAAAATGTTTATTAAATAATAAGTAAAGACAAAATGAGAAGAAAATATTAAGATAATGACGCGATCACATCAAATTTAATGAGATATTTTGTCGTTATCCAATAATAAATTTAAACGATACGATATAATAAAATTTATGTGATAATTAAAACAATCATTATATTCTAATTAATAATATAAAACAGTACAATACTAACAACCATCCAAACAAAAATAGTGAATGAGTATTTTAGATTGTAAACTAAAATTCTTTCTTTGAAAAAAAAGAAGAAGAAAAAACTTGCATATTTTGGCATTTAAAGATAGGAAGATATATTGACCATGGACTTAATAAGAGCAGACACATACAAAAGGAAGACTTGGTAAAGTTGACTTGGTTGCTTCTTCGTCCCCTCCCTGCTCTTCACTCTCAGCTCAAAAATCACTACTATAAATAACTACAAATCTATCAAACACATTCACAACTCCATTATATTTCTTACTACTATTCCCTTCAATATTTTTCTCCGTTTGAAAGAATTTAAGTGTTGATTTGCTACTTACTTCCATACACTTAATTCAGATCTCGAGATGATGGTTAGTTTTTAAGTGTTGATTTGTAAATCACGGGATTAATCAATGTTTGATTTTAAACAAGTAAAGTTTGCTCAATTGGTTGAACACGAGTATTGTTTTTTTTGTTCTTTCTGATTTGGTTGTTTATTTACAGAAAGTAGTGCTGAAGTTGGAGTATCTGGATGAAAAAGTCAAGCAAAAGGTCATGAAAAAAGTTTCTGTTGTGGAAGGTACGCTATTATTCTTCAAAACTATGTCAGGATCCCAGATCTTGCAATATGGATAAAATTCAAGTTTCAGTGATTTTTGGTGTGGATGATGTTGCAGGGGTAGACTCAATGTCGATAGATACAAAGGACAAGAAATTGACAGTGACGGGAAATGTAGATCCAGTTGAATTAGTTTCAAAATTGAAGAAACTGTGTCACACTGAAATACTCTCCGTCGGACCAGCAAAAGAGCCAGAAAAGAAGAAAGATGAGCCGAAGAAAGAGGATGCAAAGAAAGCGGCGGTGGCGCCGGCAGCGGCAACAGCAGCAATAAAGGCATATCCAGCTCCAGTTCTCTATCAATATCAGTATCAGCAACCTTATCCGCATTACCCTACCCCTGTTCCTGCTTATCAGCACTATTACAGTGTGGAAGAGGATCCTAATTCTTGTGTTATCTGCTAACTTCACTTCTTTCCGGAATTTTATCATACAGTTGGTATGTGTTCAATTGTATACTCTCTACCTCTACGAGGTAATAGTAAAATCTGCCTAGACTCTACGAGATCACTTGTGAGATTTCATTTCACTGGATACATTGTTGTATTATATTTGGTTGAAGAAATGAAAGTTAAGAGGATAAGTATTTGAAGCTGAAAAAGAATAGGAGCATCTAAGAATACAAATTGTGTTTGGATTGAACTTCACCTGGAAAAAAAGCACTGAAAATTATTTCCAGTTCACTTGAAAGGCTGTATATTGAAGTCAAGTCACCAATCTTGACACATTGTAGTTATCAACAGTTGCAATTGACTTCATAACCTGATCACTCTTTTTTTTTTCTTTCTATGTACACTAGTAATATCCGTCGATGAAAAAAGTGCTTTACTCCTCCGTCTCAAATTATTTATCATAATTTTTAAAAATAATTACTAGTATCTTCAATGAACAAAGATTATAGTATACCTTAAAAAAACACAAATGAGGATAAAATAGTAAAAAGATCATCTTAATTAAAAATAATTTGAGACCAAGGGAGTAGTGAATGCTCCTACAAGAGGTTGTTTCTGGCCTCATCCTCACCCCTTTCCCCTCCCTCAAGCCATGGCCAAAACTCAACAGGTTATGTTAGCATGCGCCAAAAGAGAATGAAGTCTAATGAGTTGATTACTTTTTCATTTTGCGTCCGCTTAAAAAATCATAAATAAAAAGATAATTTTATTAATTTATCCTTTAAAGATTTTTGAAAATCTATATATATATAAATCTGAATGAGAAATCGCTGATGTGACACCTCTTAGAAGCCAGGATTTCTATTTATCTATTTTCTCAATTTTTAAAATTTTTCATCACACTAAATATAATATAATTTAATATTACATTCAATATATTAAGCATTAATTGCATTGCAAGAATAGAAAGAAAATTACCATTATGGACAATAAATGTTTAATTACAATTTTATTATAATTAAGGAAAGAGAAAGATTACAATAAACGTTTAATTATAATTTTACTATAATTAAGAAAAGATAAAGATTAATTCAACATTCTATAATCACATTTAATATTCTAAATATTAATTGTATAGTTGGAAATGGAAGAAAGATCCCATTTCCGAATTTTTTTTTTCTAATATCCTAATCTGAAACTTTTGACATTCTCTATAATATTAAAAATTATATATTTCATATAGAATAATTACGTATTTATGGGATGAAACAATGAAATCATTTGCAACTTTTATTATTAACATAAATACATAATGATTAAAAATATTGTGAGTATATAAAGAGAATCACAATTTAAGGAAAATAAAAAATTAATTACAATATATATTTTTATCTATTTTTTCTAAACCCTCTATATTTCTTTATTTATTTTTTTACTTTTTTTTAAACCCTTATCTTTCTTTTCTATCTTTCACGTTCTTTCCAGAAAATAAGAGTATAAACTTTTTTTTATTATAGTCATTTATATCATTATCTTATATTTCCATCTTCAATTTCATTAAATTCATCTCTTTATTCTATTTGTGTATAAGTTGATTATCCTTTCATATTCTGCATTAATGTTATTTATTAAGATTAATTAAAAGTCATTATAATATTCTTTTAAATACGGTACAAAAGGAGCCTCAATTCAAATCCAATCATGATTTTTTTCACAATTTTCTTTTCTAGTTTTTCAATATTGCTATTAGAAAATAATACTTTGGAGAGACATAAGGTAATCTTAACTTCCTTACTATTTTTATGTTTATACTATTATGGAATTTTTTTTCCCATTTCATTAAATTATATAATCAACAAAAATATGATGATTATATTGTATATAACAATAAACATTGAGGCATCTTTCATACTGTCAAATAATTGTTCCAGCAAATTGAGATTTACATTTTTATGAAATTGTTTGGTTATTGTAAAGGGGTTCATAATATGAATATTTATATTAAATTAAATACAAATGCATTGTTCATATGTTTCCTCTCTTTTTTTTCCAATGAATTTGGCAGGCTTTATCAAGCTAAGGGTTTCAGGACACATCTTTTCTGTCTCTCTATTTTTTTTTCTTCATATTTCAGTTGTGAAATTATATTAAATATGTTATTGTTGTTACATTATTAGAGAATATTTAATATTATTTTTTATGAGAAATTGTAATTGTTTCTGTTAGTTATCATGGCATGGTGTGATATTGGTGATTGTCGAGACATGTATGGAGGAGTAGACATGGAAAAGGTTCTTATAGAAGCATCTTGTCATTTGAGTATTTTCTCTATTTTCATCTAACACCCAAAATAATAATAAAAAATTATTGAATAATAAAGAGATGTCAAATGAAAAATTATCTCAATATATTATAATTGATTGATTTATTAGTTTCATTATTCATACATATTAGAGGTTTGGTTTAATTTTTGGAAAATAATATTAATTTTTTTAATTATATTGTTCAAAAGATATTGATTGTTGAATTTGAACTATTATGTTTTACTCGCGGGTTCAAAATTTATTTAAAAATGAAAAAAGTGTTAATTATATGTTTAAAACTTACTTCCAAATGAAAATGTGTTAACTAATAACTATATGTTCAAATAATTTTAAGCATGGATACGGTTATTTTGTTACCATTATAATAGAATAGTTAAGATGAATCAACAAATTAACAAGAAGTCTTGACTAAATTTGTACTTAATAATTTTAAACTTAACAAGTATAAGGATCTTTAAATTTTAAATTGTGTTAAGATTTGATTTTTTTTATTGACGGATAGTCTTAATTAGATAAATTATAAACTTTTTACTTAATTAACATATCATATTCCTCTTGCTAAAATATATCATGTAATACCCCAGAAATTTTTTCGAACTAAGACTTGAACCATCCTTCGTTGTGAGTAGGATTTTACCGTGGAATTAAAATTTCTTAAGTGTTAAGGTCACTAGATGTGGCACCTTGAGTTAGAAAAAGAATTAAATTGGAAATAGCAAAATCTGAAATTTTGCAAGTTATGCTTAAGTATGGGTTTTGGGTCGACTTCAAACGACCTTAACTCCTAGCTCAGGATGAGTTAGGTGTGCTACCAGATACCGTAGGAAAGAACTTCGAATTATCTTTCCAACGCCACCGAGTTTTCTCAGTTTCGAGTTCGTATGAGTGAGATATGACCTTTTGAAGTTAGGCTTCCCAGTTAAGGAAAGTCAAAATCGGGTTTTAGAGGGGTATTTTGGTCTTTTCCTTACCCAATCAGATTTAATTCGTTTTTAGTAATATTTTAAGGATCTAATCCTATTAGGTTCAGTTTTATAATCCTAGTTTACGCCTAGGGTTTTAGTTGAGAGAAAAGAAGAGAAAAGAAGAAGAGAAACGAGGAGAAAAAGATGAGAGGATCAAGTGTTCGTTGAGATTTTTGTGTCTTGTTGCGGATTTTCGCCATGGGTTTAATCCCTAAGAGGTATATAAGCTTCCATAGTGTTGGGTTTGTTCACCCACACGCCAAACATGTTATTTTCAGCGCAAATTTCATTCTTGAAGTTGAAAGATTTGAGTTCTTGATAGGTATTCTTGAAGTTCATTCTAAATCTTGTTGTGTTGGGTTTTGGATGATTTCTTGAGATCAAAGTGAGTGTTTTAAGGGATGTATTGAGTAGATTAGAGTGTACTTATGTTAAGTAATCAATTCTAAGTGATTATGGAAGAAACTGTTCGATTTTAGGCAAGTTAGGGTGAGAAAACGAGCAAAGAAGTTTGTCATATTTTTTGGGTTGGGGGCCTGGCGCGATGCGCCTGCCAGAGCGCCCCAAACCCTCATCTGAATGTTAGGGGCTGGCGCTCCGCGCCACCCATAGCCCCAGGGTCTCCTGCCCCTCCAGTTTGTCGTCGGTTGACCCGTTTGAGTTTGTTTAAAGTGCACCTTCACTCCTTTTCGATTCTAACTACTCTAAGCTACTTCTAAACACCTAAGATCATTCCTAACATGATCATAATCTTGAATTCATAAATCAAATTCAAGGTAGAGTTGAGAGTCAAGTTTGAGAGTTATTTTAAACCTTTTTGATAAGGTCCCTTAGAGTCTTTTTGAGGAGTCTTCTACAATTACTAGTAACTTGTTTCAAGACTCGATCAAGTGAGTATGAGGATAAGGAGAATGTATTCATGAATCTACTTTGTCATCATGAGATCTTTCTTATCATGAACCAAAACTCTTGAATTCATAATTCACATTCAAGAGAGAGTTAAAAGTAAAGTTCAAGTAAGCCTTTGAGTTCAATTATGAATCATTTGAGATCAACTATCGATTTGAACTAAGTTCTGAGAAAGTAAGTAAGAGAATGAGAAGAGTCGTATACATGAGTCTATGTGGTTATGTAGATCATCGAGTCGAGTTGTTTCTTGCCCATAATTCTGCATGAACTTCGTAAGTTGAGCATCTTTCAGAGAAGTGGTATCTTCAAGTTTTAAGCCTTTAAGTGTTGAGTTCCTAAGCCCTTTTGAGAAGTATCTTTGAGTTCTTGAGTTAAGAAGTTCATGCTTATAATTCCGCATGAACCCTTGAGTTGAGCATTCTTTAAATGAGTAGTATCATTGAAGTTCTTAAGTTCCAAGTATTGAGTTCTATCTATGGTTATTGAAAACCTTGCATTGAGTCATTCATGTCCCTAATTCGGCATGAACCATATTTTAAGGAGTCTTTTACAAATGTTTAAACTTTGTTTTAAGACTTAAGCTTTAAAGTTAAGTAAATAGTAAGAGTAAAGTCTTTTATAAACGTTTTAACTTAGTTATAAGACTGAAAGTTTCAAGTTAATCAAAGAGTAAAGAGTTGAGTTCATTTCTCAAAAGTTATAAGGGAACTAAGTATTCCCTAAGAGTTTATAAATGTTTTTACACATTTGAGCAAGAAAAGGGAACATGATTCCAAGAGAGCCTTTGGGCTAGTTTTCAGTAAAGGGAACATCGATTCCAAAAAAGCCTTTGGGCTAAGCTTTGAGCAATTATCTCAAACTAAAGAAAGAGGTGTTTAAAACACATATGAGCTAAAGTATATTTTTGAGAGTAGTATTGAGCACCGAATTGAGGACGCGAGTTCATATTAACTCAAATCTCCATAAGAACCATGTGGCCAACATGGGATTTAACGAGTCATACTTTTTAGATGATCATGTAAGTTAAGCTAGTGAATCCACTAAGTTAAGTAAGGTCCTATACCGATGGCAAGGTATAGGATGGTCCTTGGCAGCGCGAGGTAAAGTGTTGTATCATCACTATAGCTCTTAAGTGATGGTTGTCAGTTAGAGAAACTCCCACAAAAGTTATTGTATTTTTATATACACAGTTATTTGTATTTCTACATACATTTCAGAGTTATGTTGTATCCTTGCATACACATAGAGTTGACATCATGTTTTTAAACAGCTTTTCTTTATATTGCATTTACTTTAAAAACTGCTTTATATTGAAATGAGTCCAGTTATGTTGAGTATTTCAAGTTGAGTACCTTAAGTTGAGTATCTTGAGTGCTTTGTGCTTCATTGAGTCAAGTATCATATCTTTGAAGTTGAGTATCTAATCCTTGAGTTGAGTATCTTATTCTTAAGTTGAGTTGAGTTCAGTGAGTTTGAAAAGAGGTAAGTATTTTTTTTTCTATCAAGTTCAAGCTTATGTTATGTTTTAGAATTCCCCTTACATGCTCGTACATTCCACGTACTGAGCCATTTGGCCTGCGTCTTCTAATGATGCAGACACAAGTATTCAGGATCATCAACATGAGCTTCGTTGATACATCCGAGAGTTCGAGTTAGCTATGGTGAGCTTCCTTGTTTCCGGAGGATTTCATTTACCTTTCAGTTATATCAGTTGTTAGGATGTAGTGGGTCTTATCCCGACTTCCATCTTTATCAGTTAGAGGCTTCATAGATAGTCAATATAGTTGAGAAGCCTGTATCATTTATTTTATTAAATTATTTAAAGACTAAAGTTGCCTTTTTATGGCAAGTTGTATATATTTTATTATACCGAGTTTTCTTTGGACTTAAAGTTTTTATTTAAGTTTTATGAGCTTTTATTTCAGTTTTAAGCTTTTGTATGCTTAAGTTAGTCTTCCGCTCGTAGTCAGCCAGGATGAGGGTCCGCTTGGGGACCATCAATGGTTCTTGAGTGTCGGCCATGTCCAGGGTGTAGACTCGAGTCGTGACATATTAAGTGGATATTTAATTTTTAGAAGGATTGTAAATTATTTATATATATATATATATATATATATATATATATATATATATATATATATATGTTTCTTTTAAAATCTTTAGTAACTTCTTGACTTGTGCTAAATAGTTATATCACCACAAAACAGTTAGAAAGAGAAAAAGTGAGGGTGATATTTTTCTTTGGTCAAAAAATACAATTATATTTTTTTTTAGATTTTTTTATTTATTTATGTGCTATATTAAAAGAATTTTAAAAATATTTAATTGTTAATTATATTAAATGTGCATTGCAAAGAAATTAAAAAGACATTTTTAGAATATGTTAAATGTAAAACTTAATTTGTCTTTATTTTCATTAATTACTCCACATAACTTTTTATTATTATGACCTATAAAATTATTAATAGTCATATTCATCATATTATAAATAAAATCATTGTAAGATTTTATAGAAGATCACATTAGGTTTTTAGGTTGTTATATTTTCGGTGCTTATTATATTCATATTTAATTTGATTTGAAGAATAAGATGAAAAATGGTGATTGGCTTGTGGGAGTGGACGTCCATAAGAACTCGAAAGATATGTGTACTGATTTCATATTTTTCCTTCCAATTTTTAATGAGTAAAGAATTAAGAATGATGTTGCATTTTTATTGGTATGATTTATCTTTATTTTGCATCTTATGTGAATTTCTTATTGCAATTTTTTGTTCAAAATAGTAAAAAAATTAATAACTTTATTGGAAGTCTACTAAGTACTCATCAAACATTTTTCTCTTACAACAATATTATATTTAATAAAATTATCAAAATTTTATCACTCTATATAACCGCGCGAAGCGCGGAGAAGTTCACTAGTTTTACAATAAATGTGAACATTTTCAAAAAAAATAAATTAATATTTTCTTGATTTAGTAAGATGCAGAACTAATATGAGACACTATTTTTAGTATAATGACCAAGTAATAGAAGACAGAGGGAGCACTGATCATCAAATTATTATGATTAGAAATAATTTATTCTTATTAAAATTCTTTACTCTTGATTAAATGATTCATAATCACACGTTTTTTGATATTTTTCTTTTATGATTTGAGTGTATTTCAGACCACAAATTTGAATCTCTCCTTTTTCTTAAATTTGGTGGCAAAAGAAGTTGAAACTATTTTATTTTTTGATATATTTATTTAGCATTTAACGATAGGAAGATATATTGACCGTGGAATGAAAAAGAAAGACTTGGTAAAGTTGACTAGGTTGCTTCTTCGTCCCCTCCCTGCTTTTCAGTGTGCTCAATTCAGCTCACAAATCACTAGTACTATAAATAAGGCAACCACAAATCCATCAATCTCATTCGCAAATTCAATATTTTTCTCTTTATTCTGAATTTGAAGTGTTGATCTGCTACTCACTTCAATTCACTAAATTCAGATCTCGAGATGATGGTTAGTATTTCTACTTTCTTTACTTTACTTAAGCTTAAAAGTTGCTTTATCTTTTTTGCCCATTTTGATTCTCATGAAATATAAAAGTGAAAATTCCCCTGATTTACTTATTGATTTACAGAAAGTAGTTCTGAAGTTGGAGTATCTAGATGACAAAGTGAAGCAAAAGGTCATGAAAAAAGTATCTGGCGTGGAAGGTACGTTATTATTCTTCAAAAATATGTAAGGATTCCAGATCTTGCAATATGGATGAAATTCAAGTTTGAGTGATTTTTGATTTGGATGATGTTGCAGGGGTAGACTCAGTATCAATAGAGACGAAGGACAAAAAATTGACAGTAACAGGAAACGTAGATCCAGTTGAATTAGTTACAAAATTGAAGAAGTTGTGTCACACAGAGATACTCTCTGTTGGACCAGCAAAAGAGGCAGAAAAGAAGAAAGAAGAGCCGAAGAAAGAGGAAGCAAAGAAGCCGGATGAGAAGAAGAAAGAGGCAGCAGCAACAAAGGCATATTCAGAGCTAGCTCACTATCACTATCAATATCAGCGACCTTATCCTCACTACCCGACCCCTGTTCCTGCTCGTTATCAGCACCATTACAGTGTGGAAGAGGATCCAAATTCTTGCGTTATCTGCTAACTTCAGGCTTCACATTGCGTTTACTCGAGTAATTCAATCTTCACACAAGTTCTTTCGGGAATTTTATCATACAGTTGGTGTGTGTTCAATTATCATACAACCTCTCTACCTCAAAGAAGTCGTAAAAGTCTGTGTGCACTTTATGTATTATATTTGTTTGAAGACTTGGAAGCTAAGAACACAAATTGTTTTTGGATTGATTTTCGCCTGGAAAAAAAAGAAGATAAAAAAAAGGACGGAAAATTATGTCTAGCATAATACATAATGTACTTTTTAACTTGGCTTTAGCCATCATGTGTTTCAATTTTGAAGGTATACAAATAGATATTTAAATCATTCAAGTAGACACACATTTCCATTACGTCTATTTCACTTGAAAGGCTGTATATTGAAGTCAAGCCACCAATCTTGACACATTATAGTTATCAACTGTTACAATTGACTTCATAACCTGATCGCTCTTTTTTTGTGTACACTCATATCTCCATCCACGAAAAAAATGCTTAGCTTATACTTTTTTTCATCTCAAATTATTTATCATAATTTTTAAAAATATTATGAGTATCTTAAGTTATTTCCCAGTTTAAAAGTTTGTGACATTTTTTTTTTCTTTCTATTTTATTCTTGATAATAATAGTAAGTATTTTTAAAGACTACAAACACCTCAATAAAATATACTTCCTCCGTCCCATTTTATGTGGCACCATTTCCTTTTTGGTTAGTCCCAAAAAGAATGTCACATTTCCTTATTTGGTAAGTTTATAAAGGTACAATTCCTCTTTTATCCTTATTGGTCCCACTTAATCTTAAAATAATACTCCAATACATTTATGAGGAGAGAGAAAAAAGAGTCTACTTTTTAAAGGGCAATTTGGTAAACATTTCAAAGTCTTCATTTATTTCTTAAACTCCGTGCCCGGTCAAATGTTGCCACATAAAATGGGACGGAGGGAGTATTTAATAAAAGAATTGTATATCTTAAAAGACATAAATGAGGATAAAGTAGTCACAAAGTCATCATAATAATTTATTTATTTTTAAAAAATATTGAAAACACCCTTAAACTTGACGCTAATTATTAATTTCGTGCCTAAACTATTAACCGTCTTTAAAACACTCCTCTACTTGACTAATTAAACTAAAATACACCCCTCTCATACCATACACATAAATGTGTCATTTACGCGTGTACACGTGGAATTTTCTGTTGATGTGACATATACATAGATATATTGTATGACATGAGAGGGGTGTTATAAAATCCGATTAGACAAGTAGAAGAGCTTTTTTAAGACTGTCAATAGTTCAGAGACGAAACTAATAATTCTCACCAAGTTCAGGGATGAAACTAACAACCTCATCTTTATTTTACTTTTAAAATATTATTTTTTAGTTGTCAATTTTTATGGGAAATTTTCGCAAACAGCTACTATAATAAACTTAATTATGTTTAATAGTTATAGTTTGCATATTTACGGGATGTAACTACAATTTAAGTTGTCTTGTTTGTTTATTTCGCGGGTTTGTATATTATGTGGGTGATTTTGTATAATTCGTGGTTACGTTTGCATTTAAGCTATTTTTAACGAATTTATAAACATCTGAACTTTAAACAATTGTACAAATTATATTATACAAAATTACATTATACAAAAGTTATACAAATTTCAAATTACAAACGTGTGAATTATACAAACTCGAAACCCCAGCCCATATAATTATCACTGAATGTTGGTCGCGAGTGGTAACTAACTAAAATTATAGCTATAATGACTAATTAACTAGTATATGTTTGCTTAACCATGTAATTTTTTTTATTGGGTGAAATAAAAAAGGGAAAACTACATAAATGGGTCATCAAACTCAAAATAATTATATGTTCATATCCCAATCCAAAGTAATTCAAGAAATACCCATTCTCTAAAAAAAATAATTTACAACCCATTCCCCTCATTCATTAAGGATGATAATTTTTGCTGAACTAATACTAAATAAGTATCATATACTGTATTGATATCATTAAGGCTTATAATTTTGCTTAACTGATACTAAATCAATATATATGTGTGTGTGTGTGTTGTATTAGTATCATTAAGGCTGATAATTTCGCTTAATTGATAATAAATAAGTATATATATGTTGTATTGGTATCATTAAAGTTTATTATTCAGAAATTACTCATTAGTCAATTATACAATAAGAGTATATGTATATTGTTGTGGTATCATTAAGGTTTCTTGTTCATAATAACTCATTAGTCAATGATACTATAAGAGTATATGTATATTGTTGAGGTATCATTAATATTTTTTGTTCAGAAATTACTCATTAGTATATATATATATATATATATATATATATATATAGAGAGTATCAACTAAGCGAAAGTATCAGCCTTAATGATACTTGTAGACATTGAAATTTTGCACTCTACAAGACGTGTTCAATTCGAATTGGGACTCTAGAAGATGTGTTCAGTTTCAATTAGAATTCTTGGAGGCTACTCAACCCTAAACCTAGTTTATGCCTATATAAAGGGTACTAACTTCCCTTAAAAGACATCTCAAAATATCCCATAAACTCTTGAGTATTTTTAAAGATCAGGATCTCGAATATTCCACAAAAGTCATGGAATACTCATATAGAAGTCAAATCTAAATCATCCTAGTTCGAGAAATACGCCACTAACGGCCCTCAAATCATGGATAAATCTTAGGAGAGTAGAATCAAGGGAAGAACAGAATTTTACCCGCATATTTATCAATAAAGTTATGTTTCTTCTTATTTTTATTGTGATTGCCACTTATTTTTTGTTGCTTTAAAATTTGTTGCAAACAAATTGGAACGCTCAGTGGGACCAAATATGCTCTTCATCTCTTCTCTCTTAAATCAAATATGAAAATCTGAAGCTGCAAAGGTGGAAGAATGAATACTTCAAGCCTCGTCTTTGAGTTTCATCGAGTCTACACTCCGACAAGCCTTGAAGCAGAGGGCATTTGTAGACATTGAAATTTTGCGGACTCTACAAGACGTGTTCAATTCGAATTGGGACTCCAGAAGATGTGTTCAATTTCAATTAAAAGTTGAGGTCTTCAAATCAATCAAGTTTACTTCAAATTCTTCAAGTCTGCAAGTTGAAGTCTTCAAAACTAAAAAAATAAATAAATCTCCAAGTCTAGAAGTTGAGGTCTTCTAATCAATCAAGTTTGCAAGTTGAAGTCTTCGAATTCTTCAAGTCTGCAAGTTGAGGTCTTCAAATTCTTTAAGTTTGCAAGTTGAAGTCTTCAAATTCTCCAAGTATACAAGTTGAAGTGTTCAAATCTTCCAACTCTACAAGTTAAACTCTTCAAATTTGTCAAGTCTGCAAATTGAAGTTTGCAAATTCTTCAAGTCTGCAAGAACAAAGTCTGCAAGTTTAAGCCTTTAAATTCTTCAAGCCTGCAAGTTGAATTCTTCAAATTCTCCAAGTCTGCAAGTTGAAGTCTTCAAGTTCTTCAAGTCTGCAAGTTGAAGTTTTCAAAATTTTCAAGTTTGCAAGTTGAAGTCTTCCAATTCTTTAAACCTGCAAGTTAAAGTCTTCAAATTTTTTAAGCCTGCAAGTTGAAGTCTTCAAATCCTTCAAGATCAAGTTCAAACTTCAAATTCTTCATCTTTATTATATGAAGAAGGGGCATTTGTAGACATTTAAAATTTATTATATGATTCAAATTCATGAAGATATGAATCCAAATAAATATTATGGATTAATATAATTGAGTTAATTATTTAAATTCAATAAATATATATCTAATTAAAGCCCGCTCCATAAAGCTCATATGCCATGTTACTTAAATCTGATTGGCCGAAGGGAGTCTTGTTCCAATCACAACTCCTCTATTTTAAAACTATAAATAGAGGTCCTCATAGTTCAGAAAAGAGAACCAAGAATTCTAACAAGAAGCTAGAGAAAGCTCGTGGATTAAAAGCCACAAATTTCTCTATAAACAACAAGTTTAAGAATTCAAGAACTCAAGAGTTTAAGAATTCAAGTGTTCAAGTTTAAGAATTGAAGCTTTCAAGTTTCAAGAACGATCAAGATCATGACCGCCAGATTCAAGATCAAGCTTGAAGACCTTGGATTCAACTTGAAGTCTAGATAAAGATAAAGTTCAAGTTCAAGAACGATCAAGATCAAGACCGCCGGATTCAAGATCAAGCTCGAAGCCCTTGGATTCAACTAGAAGTCAAGATAAAGTTCAAGTTCAAGAACGATCAAGATCAAGACTACCAGATTCAAGATCAAGCTCGAAGCCCTTGAAATCAACTAGAAGTCAAGATCAAGATAAAGTTCAAGTTCAAAATCAAGATCAAGTTCAAGATAAATTCAAGATAAAGCTCAAGAGCCCTTGAATTATATCCGAAAAGGCAAATTCAGAGGAATCATAGAGATTGTAACACTCGCACTTTGAGATCAATAAAATGATTGTTATGATATTTTTCCGTTCTTGATTACTGTTTTTCTCGATGCGAATTTTACTGTCTACAAATTCTGGCATGCCCAGTGGGAGCAAATCTGCTATTCATCTCTTCAATCTTAAATCGAATCTGAAGCAGCAAAGGTAGAAGAATGAGTACTTCAAGCCTCGTCTTTGAATATCATCGAGTCTACACTCCGACAAGCCTTGAAGCATGGGACATTTGTAGACATTGAAATTTTGCGGACTCTACACGACGTGTTCAATTCGAATTGGGACTCTAAAAGATGTGTTCAGTTTCAATTAGAATTCTTGGAAGCTACTCAACCCTAAACCCTAGTTTATGCCTATATAAAGGGTACTAAATTCCCTTAAAAGACATCTCAAAATATCTCATAAACTCTTGGGTATTTTTAAAGATCAGGATCTCGAATATTCCTCAAAAGTCATGGAATACTCATATAGAGGTCAAATCTAAATCATCCTAGTTCGAGAAATACGCTACTAACGGCCCTCGAATCATCGATAAATCTTAGGGGAGTAGAATAAAAGGAGGAACATAATTGTACCCGCATATTTATCAATAAAGTTATGTTTCTTCTTATTTTATTGTGATTACCATTTATTTTGTGTCACTTTAAAATTAGTTGCAAACAATACCAATATAGTATATGATACTAATTTAGTATCAATTAAGCAAAATTAATTAAGTGTATATAATGTAATTATTTAGTGGGGTATGAATATAAACAACATATGGTTGTAATTATTTTACTTTTATGAGGTATTTGCTTAGTTTCCCCAATAAAAAATCCACATCCATTGAATTTGTTCCTTATAACCTACCTTCGTTAGAATTTTTTCTTACAACCTACCTTCGTCCTTCG